TTAAGAAAATTAACTTGTGGAAATTAGAATTACTTCAAATTAACAGAAGCCTCAAGAAAACATATATTTAAACAGTTGAACAAGAGCGAAAAAGTAAAAGCCAATGAAAAACGAAGAGCATCTTGAGCAGTCAAAGGGAGATAGTGTTTTTGTTAAAGCACAAGTAACAAAGTGAAATTGCTGCCTAAGAATCATGCAGAACGATCATTAATCCACAAAGCCGCTAGTCGCAAAGGTTCGCTTTCAAGTACTGAGAAATACGAATTTAGTGTTTTCACATTTACTGAAAATTCGTACCGATACATTTTCTAGTTCGCAATTTCTTCGTATAAGTTGTTACAAGCAAAGGAAAAGCATTCGAAAGGTCTTCAACTATAAAAACAGTTAAACCGTTGCTCACATAGTTGAAAACTCGGTTTTGGTTCTGAAAGCATTTGCCTGCATAGCAGGGTTTATAAAAAATGTTTTCAAAGCTTGCATACTGCGAAACAAATCAGAGTCAATCTATTTCAGCCCTCCAGAAACAGAAAATAGTTAATTTTGCAGAGATACATCGATAAACCTCTGCCAAAACGCTTACATTCCGCATATTCTTCCTGATACTACAATTTTTAGAAACCGTCTTAGTGTTCAATTGCGATTACCTGAAACAACGGTACGAAAAACCGCTTAGCAACTTATTCTGTATGAAGCAAATTATCCTCAGTGAAAACGTCAATCAAACAGTGCAACCAGCAAGTGTCATTCTTGAGAAATTTTTCTGTTCAATGCTTCCAGGAAAATTACAAGATTTTTATCTGCGCTTCAAAATAATATGTCAAGAACGGTACTTTTCTGCTGAACATAAGAACAAGAAAATGTCATGATTATGATGGTCAGAAGAACAAAATTCCTTTCAAAGATATGCAGATCGATACAAATCAAAATCTTTCGTGAAACACAAGAGACTTCGACGAAATAAATATTTTTGACCAAAAATCTTCAAAGGAACGAAATTTATGTAAGCCACGCTTCACAAAATTCCAAAATAATAAGCGGGAAACGCTACACTTGCACTGCGGAAAGATCGTTTTCTTACGAAACAACAAAAGCATTTCACACCGTTGCTTCGTTCAATTAGCTGAAATGTTCAGTTTTTCTATCTCACTGCCGCATATTGGATAAGCATAAAGTACAGAAAATTGCTTACTTATTACGTTCCCTACCTGGTCAACAAGAGTCGTGCGCAGACGGCACAAGGCACAATAGCAACGTATTTTAAATTGCCCCTGGCGGATTTGCAGGTTACATAGCAAGTTGATCAATAAAAGTGTTTAGCGTCAGTTAGGAAGGGAAAGAATACTTAGCCATCGTTGGAATGTCTGTCTTACTTGGGTTTTAAGGTAGGGTCATTTTGGCGCCCTTCATTTCATCAGGTTGATGGCGCGGTACTGGTGTCCTCTTCTATACAGGCAGCCAGGCGTACCTGATTTTAAATGCAGAATCTACAACCATATGTCAAATGTTGTGCGAAGTTAAGGATTCAGTGTAGATGCGCCGTGTAGGTTTGATGAACTGACAAAAAATTCTATTCTTACCTGTAGTACTGAAAATGATGAGCCTTCTGATAAACGCGAAACGCATTTTTCATTATTGACATTCACTTACGGAATAGGGAATATTCATTGCTGTTCGAGCATGTTTATGTTCAATTATAAAGTTTGTGCTGTTTTGCGCCAATGCACTGCAGATGCTGAAATAGCATTGAGACGCGGCCTTTTTATACAGTCCTCTAGGGTACTAGAAGCAAGTGTTTCGCCGTGTCTCTGCAGAAGATTGACATGATAGTATTATTCTCCCTAGCGGCATTGAAAGTAAACTATTTGCTAGTAAACCCATAAGATGATTCATTTTTGTTAAGGATTCTTTAAAGTTACACCGCTCCTGCCACGGACGGACCTTAAGAAATTCTATCTTGATAAGTTTGTTACGTTATAAGAGCTGCAGCAATTATATTGAGTGGAAATCTGACACTCTCTGCGTCGCTTTTGATAAAAAGGAGCCCTGAATGATGCAGCTCGACGTTTTGTATTATTCTGATGAGAAACGTCAATGCACATATTGCAGAAGGGCAAAATAACGCTTGTAGCTGTAACAATGTTATTCTCCCTTATACTGAAAATAGGAGCTAGCTCCTGGGCCATATATCAACTTTGTATACACGAAGTTAACAATGGGAAGCTGATCTTCTTTCCATGGGTCTAGTCAAAATTCAACTGCCTCGTTTTAAAGGCGAGGGCCATACCAGCTGTACTATTAACTTCGGGTGTGGTAAGAAAAGCTAGAAGGCAACTTGAAAACTAAGCGACATTTTAAATCTTCCTGTAACGGAAATCTGAAAAGCCTAAAATTGTTTTTATAAACGGAAATTTAGCCTATTTCGACTTATTTCGTGGTTGGTTGTAAAATGAGGAAAGCATCGGTAGTAGGAATAATAGTGCCAAATGTACTCCACCTATGCAATGTTGTTAGGGATGCAAATTCTCCTTTTTAGCTTGTTGCCTTATAGGCTCATGATTCCCATTCTGGAGTTGTTATCAATCAGTCA